AAGCCACAGATCCCCCTACTCGTCAGGCTCCCACCTCCCACTCTTGAGTGCCCTGAAGATAGTAGGCGCTCAGTTGCTCCTGGGAAATTCCGACACAGGACTCTATGACTAGGTCAGACAGTGCCACAAGAGACTAACAGCCCTGTGTAATAGTAACAGAGGGCTATCAGGCACAAGCCACATCCCAGCTGAACTGTATACAGGTCAAGCTGTAGAAGTGGCCATCCCGCCTGTGTGAAACCCACAATGGACTCATTACCCACAAAGGCCACTGATCCTCCTGCAGCAAGCTGACCCTGAATGTGCTGCGTGTAAAGCCCAGGGAAAGTAAAGGACTTTTCTGGGGACAGGAGAAGCCTTCAGGAAAGCAAGAACCCAAAGAGGAGGGGTGCTGGCACCACACCTCCCCTCAGCGCCATTATGTTCTTCAGGCCGAGCTGCTTGGCTCTGTGCAGATGGCCTGTAATCTCCTCCGGGCGCTGCTGGCAGCAGGTCATGTGCAGGATGGTTTCTAAGCCACAGTAGTTTACTGCTGTGCTGGCAATCATCATGGAGGAGGTCTCCTTGTCTGAGCCAGGGTCTCCAGCTGGGTGCCAGGTAACATCTACGAAGAGGGGGCCCCCTGCTGCCATCCGGTCAAACCTGCAGGGGATTTCTTCCTTAAGTAGGGCTCCTGGGGGAAACAGCCTGCTCACTCATCCTCCCTGGGGGCAAGGGAGCTGGAGCAGCAGAGAATGCAAGTTGGTATCAGAGCACCGTGTTTACTTCCCAGACACATTACCTAAATACCTATCTGAGCCGCAGTATCATTGGTTGTAAGATGTGGCAGATATCAGTACCTACTCAGCATCCATCAAGGGTCTGGGTCAGATGGGTTGGAGCAGGGCCTGAGCTCAGTGAGTCCCGCTATGATCACCACACTGATGTATAACAATGCCTCTATTTCCTGTAAACAGCGCCTCAGAGCGCAGGCACACTAGTTTTTAAGAGTCATGACAGCTGAGGGCTCGGGAACCTCAGCAATGGTGGGCAGAGAGCCTCACGCCAGGGAAGGCAGAGAGAAATCAGCAGATGCTCGTGCTGCTCTCACGGCCTCCTTGCCGCAGCCGTGCAACAGTCCTGCAGAGGATAGCTGAGGGCACCAGCTCTGTTAAAGCTATCATGGTGTGCTTGCACATCCGGGCCTTGATGTCAGGACCGGGGGAGCAGCACGTGGCAGATACAGATTAAAAAGCATTCATGTTTGTGGTTGTTTCTGAGACAGGGTCTCATGCAGCCCAGACTGACCTCAAACTCCCTATGTCGCTGAGGATGTTCTTTGTTTGCTGTTTGTTTTCAAGACAAGGGTCCCACTATGTAGCCCTGGCTGTCCTAGAACTCACTCTGTAGACCAGGCTAAGCTGAAACTCACAGAACTGCCTGCCTCTGTCTCCCAAGTGCTGGGAACAAAGGTGTGTGGCTGTCCACCAGGCTACCCTTGACCTCAGATCTGCTTGTTTTTGTCTCCCGAGTGCAGGGATTACAGGCATGTTCCCAAATTTATGGTTTCTGATAAGCTATAGACTCACGCTATCTACTTAGCTACACTCCTCCCCCTTTTAAGACAGGGTGTCATTACATAACCCTGCCTGGCTGGCCTGGATTCAAGGTAGCCTAGGTTGGCTTTGAACTCAGTTATCCTCTGAGTGTTGGGATTAAAGTGTTACCAGTATGCCTGACTTTCCTTTCTCTTGTCTTTGTTGACACAGGGGTCTTGTGGTCTAGCAAATCACTCTCTGACTTGAAGAAAAGGAACTGGAACTCAGAAAGTGCTATCACAAAGCATGTGGTGTTTCCTGATTTGGAAAAGCACACTCTCTGTGTCCAGCTAGCTCAACACATTCCCTGAGCTGCCTGCGTGCGGTTTGTTGACTTCCTAAACTCCTCATGGAGCCAGCCCCAAGCTCTGCCAAAGAATGCAGCCTGAAAGTGAACATTTTTGGCTTACTGAGAGTGCGTCCAAACATATCTAACGCTGCTTTAGAGGGACTTTCACAGACAAAAAGTTAGAAGTCGAAGACTAAACTCCCTGACTCGCCTCTGCTTCCTCCTGCCTCCCCTCCCCAATGCCTTTTCCTGCCGGGTTAAAGGGCAGCTCACGTTCCCCTGCGCCGACCCCCACTATTAACCTCCCCACTCACCTCGAGATGAGGTTAACAGCTCCCTCAGCAGTCCGAGGAGGGAAGAACTCCAGGGAGAACCACTTGTCACCAGAGTCCATTCTGCGCCTCATCTTATCCCGGAGTCTCTCGTGCCGGTCTGGGTCCAGGCTGGGGGTGGAACATCTCGAACTGTCCTTGGAGCTCTCGCTGCCGCTGCTGCCCTCAGATCGGGGGTTAGGGCTGCCACTTCCTCTAGCCTCGTTCACCATGGCTGGATTCCTGCTGTAGAGGTGAGGGGCCGGGGGTATCAGAGGGCTGGTAGCCAAACCCCACGCACACCCAACACCTGAGTAGGCAGCTCTGGTGGCGATCACTGCTTCGTCAGCCAGCACGAGTGAGAGTCTCGAAGCTACTACCTAGACTCTCCAGGCGCTTTGCCCCCCTGCTCTGGTCTGGCTCTTTGTATGGCCACCTCCCACTAAGCACTGAGCCGCTCTCGGGTCCTTCAGGTCGTGGACCCCTGGTGATAGCTACCTGATAGAGGGTGGCACAGAAAGCCTCACGAGGCCAGCCTCTGAGGCCCACATCCCCAGGGATGGGTAGCAGTGCCCAGCTGGGAGGACCTTGGCTTTTTGATGGTTCATCCCGATCTGCTTAGACTCAGAGTGAGTGGAGAAGGAACCTTTCCTAGAGGGTGTGTCCAATTGGGCGGAGCTGTGACAAAGAGCTGCAGCTGGGGCCACGCAAAGGGGCGGGAGTAAGGTTTCCAGGCTGGAGAAGGCTCAGGCGCAAGTCAAAGAAGGAAGATGAATGGGGGAGGGGAGGAGTAGGCAGGCAGGGACTGCAGGGATTAGTGGAGATTAGGCTATTAGCCATTCAAGATCACTAGATTTTCCCCTTCAAAGAAAGAATAGCTCACTGTGGCTGGCCCCGCCTGGAACATACTATAGGCTTTCTGCAGCATGGCTGGGCAGCCTGATCTCCTGAGATCACACTACTCCAAAAAGACTGTTGTGTCATGAGCTAGAACTTGACGGGGGTCTGGGGTGGGGGTGGGGGTAGAGAGGCTGGGCTTGCAGAAGCAGGTGGACTGAAGTCACCAAGGGTAGAGATTTATATCCAACTCTGAACAAAGGTTGTCCCGTCCGTGCCTGCCCTGCTAGCCGTTCTCCCTAGACACGCCAATTAAGTCAAAAGGATGAGTGGCCACAGTCTACCATATATGCAATCCGGGTTACAGCAATCACAGCCTGGCTAACATGGCATAGGGCCATACTGCAGTCTAGTCTGGAGAAGACAAGCAAACACTACCACTGCACAGTGACGGGCAAACACAGTAGTGGCTGTCTGTGTGGTGACGTGGAGCGACAGAGGAACGGCCTGGTCAGGTTCGTTTCTTTCTAGAAACTTCCACCTCTAAGTCAATGTAGATTTTGGGTCTCACCCTCAAGAATCAGAGGAAATCCACTGCTCTTTCTCCTCCCAGATTCCAGACTCAGTGCCAGTGTTATTCCCAATCTATCTGTGCCACTTCTGTTCTGACCTAAAACTGGCAGGTTCTCATGTCGAGTGAGAAAAGACCTTCCTCCTCCATCCAAGGGAGATGCCTCATTTTCACCGCTGGAACAAAACCTGAGGCGCTGACTCAGGCACAGCAAACTGCTCCAAGGTTTAATCATTTCTAATACGTGCCATATATCAACCAGCACCCACAGGCTATGCATTATTGAGCTCCCAAATCACACAAGGTTGAGACTATAAACTGACAAGAGACTAGTCTCAAGCGTGGCATCCTCAGCGCCTGGCAGAGTAGTAATAGGCAGTACTCACTGGGCCCCAAACTGCCAAGACCTCCAGACCGGTCTCAAAATGCCCCGCTGCCACCTACTGATCATTTAACTAAGATTGTGGCAAACACTGAGCCCACCACTCCCAGAAGCATTGTGATAGGTGTATGTAAACAGCAGGAAGCTATGGGCACGTGGGCGTTGAAGCTAATGGTCCTCTGTTCCTTTCCAGATGCTGTCAGGGAGGCAGGTTTAAGAGATTATGGCTCCTAGGCATGACGGCGCACATATTTAATCCCGCCTCTCAGGAAGCAACGGATCTCTGAGTTAGAGGCCTGCTCTACAGAGAGAGTTCCAGAACAGCTAGGGCTACACAGAGAAACTGTCTCGAAAAACAAAACAACCAAACAAAATCCCAGAGAGCGAACGAGAGAGCTCGACAGACGGATACTATGGCAGGCTGCCACCTTGGCCTGAGGGATGGGAATCGGGTCACCTGGTCAATGGGTCACAGGCCGGGCGCGGGGATGCGGGTCCCAGACGGCTGCAGGGGCTGGATCACTGCCCCAGATCCAGGATTCCTTTAACTTTGGGATACCTTCGTGCAGGTAGTGGGGCTGGAGTGACAGCCACCATGAGTTGATAGGGCCTAGGAGCGACCCAGCCTTCACCTGCAGAGGGCGGACCAGCCCCCAACTGCCCGCCCACAAGGAGGTCTAGCCTGCGGCGGGGGTGTCCCGGACTCCGCAAATCCTTCCGCGGCGTCCCAAGCCTCTTGCGTCAACTCCTGCGTCAGGTCGCTGGCGGCGGCGGTGCCACCTCCCTAGCGCATGCGGAGAAGGCGGGGCGCTGCTGTCGGTTGCTAAGGGAAACAGGACGAGCGACAGGCGGAAGCCACAAAAGACGACGTCCGGAAGTCCCGCCCCAACATGGCCGCGCCCAGAGGTCTCTTGGGAGGCCAGCCAAGTCCTGCGTCATGTGACGCGAGCTCTCGCCCCACCCGTCTGCAGCCACTCCCTGTCTCCCGACCCAAAGCTCGAGTGGGCCACGTGACCCTCCCGGGGCCAGTCACGTGAGGCGCGGCTCCTGGGTGGGAGGGGGGTTGGCCTAGGTGGTCCGGAGTGGCAGGGAAGGAGGAAGATGGCGGGGTGCAGGGGGTCTGTGTGCTGCTGCTGCAGGTGGTGTTGCTGCTGCAGTGAACGCGAGAGCCGCACCCCCGAGGAGCTGGTGAGCGGCGGCCTGGCTGGGGAAGGGGTAGTTGCTGAGGGATGACAGGATGACAAGAGGCGTTGCCGGGGGTGGGGCCGCGCCGAACTGCGCCTGCAGGTGGCTGCGGGTGGGGCCTGGGGACCGCTGCCTGGGCTCTGGAAGCATCCGTCTTTCTCGGCGTGCCCAAGTCAGAGTTCTATTCTCATAACCTCTCTCTGGACTCTGAGGGAGGATGTCGGCCAGCTTGGGTTAATGCCATCCGTATTCTCTTTTATCGGAAAGGAGTTTTGAATGAAGCAAGCATTTTAGAATGAGCCCTTTCGCAGGACTCGACGCTCTTGCAGTTGGGTTAGTTTCTCCAGTCTTTTCTTAGTCTACCCTTCACACTTTCTGGGTCACTGATGATCCACCTTCCCTCTGCAAAGCAACCTGGGAAAACTTGAGTTGTGTTCTCAGAGTTGATACAGTTCCTCTGATTTCATATTCAGTCTATTGTCAAATGTAACGCGAATTTGCTCCTCAGCTAAGCTGCCATCAGACGTCTTTCAGGTGTCCGGAAGATGAATGTTATGATTTAGAGAATTCGTTGATCAATAGAAATGTAGGGCTCAGCTAGTGACTAAATACCCATCCCAATGTGGTTTTGAAATTTGTTCCTCTTTGAAGAGGGCTCCAGCTAATTTCGATTTTAATAATACTACCCTCCTACTCTTAACCAATAAAAAAGTCTCCATTGTGCGAATCTCTTCTAGACCATCCTTGGGGAGACACAGGAAGAGGAGGATGAGATCCTTCCAAGGAAAGACTATGAGGTGAGCTGTTCGGATGCTGTCTGGGGTAACTGAAGTAGTGAGAGGCCTGGATGCTTCGGGCCTCCAACCAGAGATGCTCTTTGACCTTCTGCCCCAGGGAACGGGGGTGGAGGGAGATAACTGACTTGGGAAGTGCTGTTGTAGCAAGTCCTTTCTTCATCTTAACCTGGACACACAGTCTGGTCTGGTGGTGACGCATTCCAGTTCCGCCCAGATATAGAGCAAGTTTGCTATTGACCTTTTACCCTTTACAGAGACCCAGGGTTGAAGCTCTTTCCTGTGAGTGCTCACAATAGCCGACCTCATGAGCTGCTAGGAGAACTTGCAGTTTCCAGTTTCAGATAGGGGACTTTTAAGAGTATGGGTCCACGTGTTGTGTCTCTTCGGACACTGGTTCCCATTACGAATGGTCGGTCGTGAGCCACCATGTGGTGGCTGGGAATTGAACTCAGTACCTCTGCAAAAGCAGTCAGTGCGCCTAACCGCTGAGCCATCTCTCCAGCCTCCCTATCCAACTTTTTGGTAACGCCATCACTCCTATTTGTAGCTCACATGCCTTAGGCTGATAGCATGTTCATGTGAACTCTTTAATGGATAAATGTTATTTCATTAAAATCGTTACTATTTCCCACTTAGTCATCTCCACATACAAGCTTGTGGAAAGCAGTTTGTTTTTTGTTCATAAGAGCAAATTCATTCAGATGCTTAATCAGGATTATATATGAGACACCCAGCTTATATCTAAGGATCAACCAGAAAACCCTTCTATTGAGATGTTGGGTAAAGCGGCACATTTCATGAATGAAAATTACAAAATATTAAAGGTCTCAACTGTATTTCATGAACGAAAATTAGAAAATACTGAAAGTTTCAACTGTGGAGGTTAGGGTGGAGGAGTTGCTCATCTCCCAAACCAAAGAACCGCATATAGGGCAGAAATGACAGGTCTGCCTTAGTGGAAGAGAGGAAGCTTATGGTTGACAAGGTGACAGACTGCCTGGCACATGTGAATGAAATAGGGATCCTTGGTGTTGCCTTGCTTCATGCCTCCTTCGGCAGCCTGACCGAGGATCACACAGTTCATGCAGTACCAGTAGAGTACCCCACATGTATAGCTACAGAAGGATACAATACTCACCCATCAATTTTAGAACAGCCCCTCATTCCAGGACACCCATGCTCAGTAACAGTCACTGAACATCATTCCTTTCACCCCTGACTCTTCTGTTGTTTCTTTGTTTTCTGACAGAGTTTCTTTCTGTAACCTTGGCTGGCTGTCCTCGAACTCAGAGATCCACCTGCCTCTGTCTCCCAAGCGCTGGGATAAAAGGCATGTGTCATGGATGCCTGACCCTCTGAGCAGGTTTTTTTTTTTTAATTAATTAATTAATTAATTTATTTGGGGTGGGGGGTAGACAATGACATTTTTCTTTTTTAATTTTAAAATTTATTATTAGGGGCTGGAAAGATGGCTCAGTCATTAAGAGCACTGATTGCTTTTCCAGGGATCCTGAGTTCGATTCCATCTGTATTCCATTCCAGGGTATTAAGTGTCCCTTTCTGGCCTTTGTGGGAAATAGGCATGCATATGGTACACATACATGCATGCAGGCAAACAGCCATGCACATAAAAATAAAATCTATTGTTATTGTCAAAGGGGTCACATATGGAGGTCAGAGAACAACTCTGTGGGGTCAGTCAGTTCTCCCACCTTTACTTGGGTTCTGGGGATGGAACTCGTGGGCGTGTGGTTTTGCTCACTGAGACATCTAGTCAGTTGGTTCTTTTATTTATTTATTTTTTTAAGACAGGGTAGCTCTGTGTAGCCCCGGCTGGCCTCCAGTACCGAAGTGTATTTGTATTAGCACCACACCCAGTGCAGGCAGCCCTGAATTCTGCCTCTGTAGATTTGCTTCTTCTGGACAACTGAAACTTGCTTGTGGAGCCCTGGTGTGGGACGAAAACCATTCCAAATAAGACAACAGAGGCAGGTGCATACCCCTGAGCCAGGCATAGCAGGAGGAGAGATGGATAGGATAGCATTCTTCTCAGGAGAGATGGATAGGATAGCATTCTTCTCAGGGCAAATGGGTATAGGCAACTTCAGAAGAGAGAACTTGGTTTTACTCTTTTAAAAATTTGACATTTAAGCCGGGCGTTGGTGGCGCACGCCTTTAATCCCAGCACTTGGGAGGCAGAGGCAGGCGGATTTCTGAGTTCGAGGCCAGCCTGGTCTACAGAGTGAGTTCCAGGACAGCCAGGGCTATACAGAGAAACCTTGTCTCGAAAAACCAAAAAAAAAAAAAAAAAAAAAAAAAAAAAAAAAAATTTGACATTTAAAATAGAGGCATCTTTATTGGATTTTATGTGGATTTTAGGGTGGACAGATGAATGGGTTTAAAGAACAGATAGTTGCCTGGGACAGAGTTTTGGCTGTCTGCTAGATCTCCATCCTGCCTTGTGATTCTGTCTCCATTATTTGCCCCTGTTGACAGGAAGTCTGGAGAGGGATTCCCAGTATTTGACTGTCCTGTGGCAAATCCTGACCTTAGATAGACAGAGGCTTTAGAGAAAACACTTCCTCTCACTCTCACCCCACTCTGTACCCCATTTTTGACACCAGTGCAGGAGACTTATTTACCCACACCCCAAGGAGATCTCCAGCAGACACCGGCTGGTTATTTGGAGGTAGCAGCAGATCCCACAGGTTGAGGCCGGCATCTGCCTGCTGAAAGTGGTAGGAAGCTGAGTGTAGTTGTACACACCTTCAATCTCAGCACTCGGGAGACAGAGGCAGACAGATCTCTGAGTTCGAGGCCAGCTTGGTCTTTGTAGTGAGTTTCAGAACAGCCAGAGCTACATAGTAAGACCCTGCCTCAAAAAACCAAAAAAAAAAAAAAAAAAGATAAAAAATTAAAAAAAGAAAGAAAGAGATAGGTTGTCCGCCACCCTAGTCTGATGACATTGGTAGAGCCATTCCCAGCGCTCAGGGAAACATGATTTTGGGTACCTCATTTATTCTTAAGGCATTTACTAAAGGGTATAGCTGTACAGGCAGATAGTCCTCTCAGCTTCTTACAGGCTTTGTTACATAGGTGTGGCTGATGGCATCCTTGGCCATTGGTGAACAGCTTAGTCTTCTGCCTCTGTTCTCAGAGGTCAGAAATTACAAATACATTTCTCTCCCCTCCTTCCCTTTTTCTGTTTGAGACACAGTGTCCCAGGGCCTGGGACTATATCTCAGTGGCAGGACACTTTTCTAGCATGAAGATGGTCCTGGGTTTGATCCCAGCACAACAAAGAAAGGAGGAAGGATAGGGAGAAAAATAGAAAACTAAACAAAAGATTCTCTGGGTCTTGCTGGCCTTTAACTCTAGATCCTTCTGAGTGTTGTGTGATAGGCATATGCCTGACTGAAAATTGAACTTTCTTTCTTTCTTTTTTTTTTTTTTTTCTGAGACAGGGTTTCTCTATGTAGCCCGGGCTGTCCTGGAACTCACTCTGTAGACCAGGCTAGCCCCAAACTCAGAAATCCACCTGCCTCTGCCTCCCAAGTGCTGGGATTAAAGGTGTGCGCCACCACCGCCCGACGAAAATTAAACTTTGTAATCAGTGTCTGTGGTGACCAATCACATCCTGGTTCTGTGTAGAGGTGGAGCCCTCAGTCATTGCAGTAACATACAGAAGGCCTTCTTCACACCTGGGGATCCAAGGCTCTGAAAGAGGTGGCTTTTAGGTAATAGGAGAAAACACATGCCATTTAAGAATTTAGAAACAAATTCCTGAAGCAAGATACCAGCCTTATGTGGTGGCACACGCCTTCAGTCCCTTTTATTCCCATAGTCTAGAGTCTAGACTATGACTGCTGCATATGGGACCCTTACCTGGAGGTATCGGAGACCACAGATAATAAGGAGCCCACAGCTCTTGCTCTCTTAGACTGAGGAAGTCTCAACTTGTTGTCATGTGACTCAATAAGAACCCTTCCTCATCTTTCTTTAAAACACAAAAAGAGATCTATAGATTGCAGTATTTTCATTTTCCTAGTTTGTTCCTAGAAAGTAGTTACTCTGATTGACTTTCTAAAGTGTGTGTGTATGTGTGTGTGTAGAAATCTGTGTTTATATGTCTAGTCACTCAGTAAGTTCGATTTTCTCCCTGTGCTCTGCTTGTTGTTGTTTTTTTATATATAATTTCATTAATTTTATATACAATTTCATTAATTCCAACATCCACAGACACCAGGCACACGTATGGTGCATATACATACAGACAAGTAAAACATGTATATGCATAAAAATAAACGTAAAAAAAATTTACATAAAAAATAAAAGTTAGGTGTGTATGTGTGTAAGTGTGGGCTTGTGTGTCAGTAGGCATGAATACACATGAGTTCAGGTGCCTGCTGAGGCCAAAAGAGGGTTGGACCCCCTAGAACTGGAGTTACAAGCCGGTGGGAGTCAGCAGGTGAATGAAGGAGTCTCCTGGAAGAGCAAGTGCTCTGTAACAGCTGAGCCATCTCTCCAAGTCCCAGTTATTTTTTTTATTTAATATAAAAACCAGAGACCTAGAGTTTCCATGAGTAGCATTTGTAAAGTCTGTCCCCAACTCTACACAAACTGGGCATGATGGTGCATACTGTGATCCCAGCACTTGTGAGACAGAGGCAGGGGGATCGAAAATTCAGCACCACTGTTGGGTATATAGTAAATCTGTGCATCCTGGGCTTCATAAGATTCTGTCTTAAGAGGGGGAAAAAAAAGCCCATACCAAAAGAGAGTTTTTGTGCCCAGTTATGAGCAGCCAAAACAGTACTTACAGACATTTTCCCATTACATATGCTGAATTCTGTTAAATCAAAATAAGATGGAGCCATTCATTTTAGAGTTTGTTTCTGTGGTGCTAGGTAACCTCTGTGTACATTCCCGGCCCCTCATACATTTTACTCTGCATCATGCTTTTTCACTTTGTCTTTTGAGAGAGTCTCGCTGTGTAGCTCCCGCCGGCCTGGAACTTACAATATGGACCAGGCTGGCCTGCAACTCAGAGGCCTGCCTCTGTCTCTCAAGTGCTGGGATTAAAGGTGTGTGCTACCAAACCTGGCTTGCATCTTGCTTTAAGATTTTTTAAAATTATGTGTATGGAGCCGGAGAGATGGCTCAGTGGTTAACAGCACTTGTTGCTCTTACAGAGGACATAAGTTCTGTTCTAAATGTCCTCATGGTGGTTCAGAACCATCTGAAACTTCCAACATCCACAGACACCAGGCACACATATGGTGCATATACATACAGGCAAGTAAAACAGGCATATGCATAAAAATAAATCTAAAAAAATTTTACATAAAAAATAAAAGTTAGGTGTGTAAGTGTGGATTTGTGATGTGTGTGTGTGTGAGTATGGATTTGTGATGTGTGTGTGCGTGTGTGTGTGAGAGAGTATGGATTTGTGATGTGTGTGTAAGTGTGGATTTCTGATGTGTGTGTGTCTGTAAGTGTGGATTTGTGATGTGTATGTGTAAGTATGGGTTTGTGTGTGTGAGAGCAGTATCGCTTGAGGCTGTTGTAAGCTATTTGATGTGGGTGCTGGGAGTTGAACTCAGGTCCTTGCAAGAGCAGCAAGTGCTCTTAGCTGCTGAGCCATCTCTCTGGCCCCTGCATCTTGGTTTGTATCACTTTTTTCCCCCTTAATGAGTCTGAACATTTTTCCTGTCTGGCGATAAAGATTTTACTGTAACAGTCTGATTGTTACCTAGTATTGTGTTGAGATGTATGACAACTGATTTACTCTAGGACTTTTATACAGTAGGAATTTGGACTTGCTCTCAGCAGTCATGGATGGATTAAATTATCACACATCACACGTATATTTGACTGACTTAAAACTTGTGTTAGGGGATAAGGCCACAGGCCAATGTCCAGCTTGCTTATTAACTGACGTGGCAGTGGACCTGGTTATGAGGAAGGGAGAGCATAGGTTGGACCTTTCCTTTGTTGGCAGACTGCTGCTTCCCTCAGGAGACCTAGGATTTAGGTGATTTCTTTTGACTGACTGTCTGTAGTGCACCTGCACACAGCCTGCAGGATGTCTGTGATCTCTAGAGCCTGGCTGAAGTGATACTGCCCGAGGGGTAGAAACTGGAGGAGCTGGGCTCAATCTGTGCCTCTTCTGACAGACATGAGAAGTTGCTTTTAAAAATAGAGTCTGTCTGGGTCTGTCTTGTGGCTAACCTCATTTTCATGGAGGCCTCCTATAAAGAGAATTACAATTAGTTGGTCTGGGTTAACTTGGTTCTGGTTAATTGAAGGTTTGTTCACATGTAAGGGAATAAGTTGGGCAAGACTGGTGATAGCTGACGATCTTTAACTATTTTGTAGAAACAGGAAAATCTGTCTTTTATTTTTAACCAGTGCTAGGATTCAACACAGGGCCTTGGGTATGATATCCTACCACTGAGCATTACTTCCCAGACCCTAAAAAATTTGCTAGCAAAAGCTTTTTCCTAAGCATGAGGCTTCTCACAAGCAGTGCTGCTGGCTCTTTCTGCAAGTATAACTAACCTGGGGTTCCTATTCATGCACAGGTTCAGAAGCCACTGGCCACAGGGTTAGAGTCTGCGTTTGCAATGAGCTTTCCCGGGCACTGCTGATGCCCACCTCCTGCTGAACAGGAAGAAACTGGAGCTTTTCTTGGGTTAGGTTATGTTGAGACTCCATGTGTACCCTTACCATTCTTGTGTTCTCTCAGAGTCTGGACTATGACCGCTGTATCAACGATCCTTACCTGGAGGTATTGGAGACCATGGATAATAAGGTGAGCCCACAGCTCTTGGTCTGTTAGCGCTGAACTCTTAACAGCTTGTTTTCTATCCTCATGTGACTCCATAAGTGTCCACTTTTGCCTTTAAACCTTTTCATGAAAGAGTGGCATTTCAATCCCTAAACCCTGCTGCTGAGATGTCTTCGTGGGAAAAGGAATCTGATGCCAGGCATGTCAACATGAATTTGATCCCCTGTACCCAGATGGTGAAAGGAGAGAACTAACTTCAAAAGTTGTTTTCTGGCCTACATGCACGTGTGTGTGTGTGTGTGTGTGTGCGCGCACACACACACATTCACATACACGGAGACATACATACGTAGACAACACATGCACAGATTTACATACAGACACAGACACACATACACTCTATCACACACACAGTTTTGGTACATGCAATCCCACCCATATATACAAAATTCTTAGACTTCCTCTTGTCATTCAGTGTACCCCTGGTCACTATACCCAGCTCAGTCCTTTAGGGCTCATCAGTGTCATTGTGGGTTACCTGCAGCTGTCCCTCCTCACCACGCTTGCTGTCTCTTTAGATTTAGTCCAGAACTGGCTAGCCAAGATACGTTTTTTTTCCCCCTATCACAAATGGACCCATTCTTTTCCCTTGTGAACAGAAAGGGCGAAGATATGAGGCGGTGAAGTGGATGGTGGTGTTTGCCATTGGCGTCTGTACGGGGCTGGTGAGTAGTAGAACCTGGGGAGATGACAAGTTGGACGGGTTGAGATTAGAGGGAAAGGCTTGCCTGGTGGATGATGTTTGTCACTTGCCGCTGTGACATTTGAGCATTGGGATAGTTGTCACTGTGTTCAAGACTGCCTTTTCTTTTCCCTCCTTCTTTTGGAAATGAATTATCCTGGCCCGGTTTCTCACGTGACTTTGCGTTTGCTTTGGGTACTGCAGAAGGGAGTAAGTCGCAGACTGAGTTCTCCCAGCATGCCAGGCTTGCTTGGCCAGAACTCTGACGAGCGACCCAGTCCTCTGTGGTGGCCGGTAACACGTCAGACAGAGCCCAGTGGATGCTGAGGTCACACTGTCCCGCTCACACTGAAGCAGTGTGCCAGAGTGCACAGGGCTCCTGGATTCCCCAGGTCACACACAGGGAAAGCCGGACATATCACCAAAAACTATGATAGCCGTTGTGTCTGCTGCCATAACTATGGCCTTAACGTCACTAATAGCCAAAGAAGAGAAGCTGGGAAAGTCAGCACCCAGCCGGAAGACACATGCCAAGTCTGATTTCTGTCTATAAAATGGCAGAGAGCAGCTCAGCCTCCTTTCTGCCTTTCTCGGGACTTGGGCACAAGTGTTAGGCTTAACTCTCAGTGGCATATCTGGGTAGTGTATATGTATATTCCATGTCACACAGCCCCAAGTGACAACCATTTTCCATTCACATTATACTCATGAGAGATTTACCGTGGTAAATTCACAGAGAACATCTAGTGGCAGTAATGCAGTCAGGAGGCCTATTGGCTAATATTCTGAGGACATTGTGGGAACGAAGTTGAGTTGGTTTAATTGTGTTATATAATTTCAGCACCCATGGCTGGGGCAGGGACTAAAAACACAAGCACCTGTCCTGTGTATCTCTGGTTGTGGCTCTCTCTGTAATAAGCATCATTTGCATGCAGTTGTTAGTGTTTCTGTGTGTTGTAACCTCTTAACGGCCTTATCAATGGCTTCATCACCTCGATGCTAAGGAGGCAGCCTCCTTGGTTTCGTAGCTGCTGCAGTCCTAGCTCTTCTCTCAGAGCCCTTTGATCTGTCTCCACTTTCTGCTTCAGTTAAAAGGCTTCTAGGCATTAGCCAGAGAGAGGCTGGAGTTAAAGCAAGACCTTTGATCACCACTCCACCACATTAGGGGGCTTCCTGGGCCTCCCATAAGCTCTGTGGAGTACAACAGTGGCTTGTAGGTTCCCAGGTAGCCAGCGACTGATAGAGTGGTTCTCACTGAAATAATGACTTAGAAAATAAAAAGGGCTAATACCAAACGCAGAGACCACTTGTACTCACCTAAATGCCCTTTAAAGTAGCGTTCTAAGGCAAATGCTTGTTCAGCTGGACACCACTGAAGACATTTTGGCCATTCTTGTGAATCCTCCTTTGGAAATTGCAGAGTGGCTCCCCACGTGACGCAGTCTTACCCTCTCTAACTGAAAGACTCTTCCGTCTTTGTCTTTCTTTACTCTGGTTCATTTCCTCTTTTCTTTGGAGAGTCAGTGGAGCCACTCTGGGGCAGGGTCTCTCAAAGCCAGCGTGACTAGCAGTGCTCACGCTCTGTTGCTGCGGCGGTCTTGAGCGACCACTGGAGTGCAGCGAGGTCAGGTGAGGCTTCGGAGAGACCTGACCTCACCTGAGACGAAGATGCCGGCTCTCTTATCCTCTGCAGGTGGGTCTCTTTGTGGACTTCTCTGTACGACTCTTCACCCAGCTCAAGTTCGGAGTGGTTCAAACGTGTATCCTTTCTACGGCTCCATTGTTTCAGACCCTTGGATTCTCAGGCTCTTTCTTGTTGAGAAATTTATCAGTGAATATGGTGTTTGAAAGGCTATTTGTTAGCCATTCAGGCACGAGGTTGTAAATTGTCACTGAAGGAGAGGAAAGCAAGACTTTTTTATTTTTTTATTTTTTTTATTGTTTTGAAATTCTGTCCACAAGCTAGCCTTGGTTGTTCTACAAGTAGCTATATAGCCCAGGCTGGCCTCAAACTCATTGTATGGCAGACTGGCAGACTGGCCTGAAACTCCTGATACACCTGTCTCAGCCTCCCAAATGCTGGGATTACGAATCTACATCACCTCTCCTGGGTTTGGGATGAAGATATAAAAACCGAGAGAGTGGATGATGGCAGGAGTACTGTATGAGTTATTAAAACTCCAGAGACATGGGCTGGAGGCAAAGACATTGATCCTGGACCTTTGATTGTAAAGCTTGACCACATTTAAGTAAACACTCGGATTATGAAGACAAGTAGAAACCCAAACAACAACAAGAAACTTCTACAAATAAAGGGAAATCTGAGTTCACAGCCTGGGATAGGTTTGCCCTGCATTTACAAAACAAAGCTAGGCCCCTGGTGCCCTGCCAGGGAGGCTGAGGCTGGAGGTGTGCAAGCTCCAGGCCTACAACGTGGGCTACAAATCGAGTCCCAGGCTAGCCTGGACAACGAAGACCACATCTCAAAATGCAAAGCAAAACAGGCCTGGGGCTATAACACAGTGTTAGAGCACCTGTGCAGTATAGGAAGCCATCTTTTCAATCCCTAGTACCACACAAGAGAGACAGACAGACAATTCACCTGCACGCATCTAGAAAGAATGCCTACATCTTACCAGAACAATATCAAACCCTTCTAGTTCTCAGGAAAACATGGAGAGGCTCGGAAACTCTGGCAAGAAACAGGAGTGTGCACACCCACTGTATGTGACTTTTAAATTCCTTCTCAGTTGGACTCAGGTATATTAAAGGCAGCTTTTGGGACAGCTTGGGACAGCAGAGGGCTGAGTCAGCAGATGAGGGATGGAGACAGGATGGTTCCGTCACAGCACTGGAACTGTATGCGGAAGTTAAGCACAGCTGTGTGTATCCACACGGCTAGTGCTCAGACGGGGTAGCACCAAGAGATGCTGTGCAATGATAGAGTAGAACTGTAGGGACATGAGGTACAGCAAACGGGGCACTGTACAAGGCATAGTGTAGAGGTTTGTTTGGGTGGGGCTTTGAAAGGTGTTGGTCACTTTTGTAATGTTTGGGCTGGGGAATCCTGTAATTTTAAAGTAGTTCTTTTTTAATTTATTTATTTTGTCTGTGGGGGGTTGGTGTTGCACATGTCACAGTGTGTGTGGAAGACAGAGGACAACATGTCTTCTCCTTCCACTCTGTAGGTCTCAGGGATAAACTAGGCTGTCAGGCATGGTAACAAGAACCTTTACCCATGGAGCTGTCTGACCAGCCCCTAAAGTGGCTCTTTTTTTGTTCGTTAGTTTTGAGAGAGTCTCTGTAGGCCTGACTGCCTGGAATGATCCTGTGTAGACACACGGACCTTGGACTCACAGAGACCCACCTGCCTTTACTTGAACTAGAGATAAGAACTGCCACACCCAGCTAAAGCAATTGTGGGGCTGGAAAGATGGCTCAGCAGTTAAAAGCACCTGCTGCTCTTCCAGAGGACCTGAGTTTTGTTCGCAGTACCCACAGTCTCACAACCACCTCATATCTCTACCACCGCCTGGAACTCCAGCCCCAAGGACCCAGTACTTTCTCTTGGCTACTGTGAGCCCCAGCACACAAGTGTATATATACCTGTCCATACACACACACACACATCCAAATAAAATGTTTAAAAGGTGTTGTATGTAGCCAGCTGAAGTGTACATGTCTTTAAACTAATCCCAGCACTTGAGAGGCAGAGGGAGGTGAATTGCTGAGTTTGAGGCCAGCCTGGTCTACAGGGTGAGTTCTAGGATAGCCAAGGCTACAGAGAAAAACCCTGTCTTTATAAAGCCTTTTAAAGCCTTATAAAAAGCTGTAGTATGTGGAACACAGGGAGATAGGCACTGAGCAGCCACCATGGCTGCCCCTTTTCAAGGGGCTGAGAGCCCTTTGCCTTGACTCACCTCTGCAGCGGTGGAGGAATGCAGTCAGAAAGGCTGCCTTGCCCTGTCCCTCCTGGAACTCCTGGGTTTTAACTTGACCTTTGTCTTCCTGGCAAGCCTTCTTGTCTTGATAGAGGTAAGGTGGTTTGAAAATGGACTGTCTATGAGATTTTAGTACTCACTGTGTGTGTCTGTCTGACTGTCTGACTGTCTGCCCCTCTGTCTCTCTCTCTCTCTCTCTCTCTCTCTCTCTCTCTCTCTCTCTCTCTCTCTCTTTCTCTCTCTCTCTCTCTCTCCTGACTGCTGGGATTAAAGATGTGTACCATCACTGCCCAGCTAGAAGAACTTAATGTTCTTCAGCTAGGTGTTGGGAAATGGGTACATGAGGCTTGTAGGTTATTGCAGAAATTCTCTATATTGTTCACCTGGAGATCTTTCTAGAAGTAAAGCCTGCAGTATGAGGTGAGGTTAATGAGGAATATATGGACGGGAAAGGTGCTTTTTATCCTCCGTAACACCTTGGAATTGCTTGGAGAGTGTGTCATCAGAATGTGGAGAAGGTGGTTCTGCAGTGATGCTGAATGGTCCCACGTGACTACACACGCAGTGAGGAGCTCGTTAGATGCCGAGTTAGGGCTCAGCTGGGGTCCAGCGTCTGTGGGTGAACAAGTCCTCGGGAAGGAAGATTTGGGCGTCCCTGGTTAGTTCACAGGCTTGTTGAGTGGAAGCTGCAGAGTGGGTTTTTAATTGATTTGTGTGTGTGTCCCCCCCCCCAACAGCCAGTGGCAGCAGGTTCTGGAATCCCTGAGATCAAGTGCTATCTGAATGGCGTGAAAGTGCCAGGAGTTGTCCGGCTCCGGACCCTGCTCTGCAAAGTCTTCGGGGTGCTGTTCAGTGTGGCCGGAGGTGAGGAGAGGCTTCCCACTCTTCCCGTAGGGTGTTGTAGCCGTCCTATGCATTCATTAGTTTGGGCTGTGGCTGCTCCTCATCTGGTAACGACTTTCTGTCTGTGTTAGCTGTGTGTTTCTGCATACATGGCAGAAACAGCTTGAGGGAGGAGAGGTTTGCTTGTACTCACAGTTTCAGACGGGTTTCTGTCCATCGTTGCTGGAAAGATGAGGGACACTTCATGATGGAGGGGGTATGTTATGGGCACCAGGAAGCAGAAACCGGGGCTGAGCCATAACCTTTGAAGGCTACCTCAAAGTAACCCACTTTTGCTAGTCAGACCCCATATCCTAAGGTTCCACAGCCTTCAAAACAGCTCTACACACTGGGGCTTCAGAACAGGAGCCAGGTGGGAGACGCTCCGACTCCGACCCCAGTGCAGGTCATGACCACACAGTCTTGTTTCCTGCAGTCCTTGCCTTACCTTTCTCTTTCCTTTCTCCAACCTCTCTCCTTTCCTGTCCTCCTCTCTTGCTCCCCTTCCCCATCCCCTCCTGAGATAGTGTCTCATTATATAGCCCAGGGTGACTTGTCTATGGGCTTTCAAGTACAGACATTGTTAGTACACTGTCATTCCGGTATACCGAGTGACACTACATGCAGTTGGTTTGTAGGGTTGGCTCTGGCACATGTCAGCCCATGTTTTGTATAGATGGCAGATGGTCTAGCCTTTGCAGGCCAGGAGAGATAATGGAGGACGTAGTGTAGGAGCTTAGGGATCGTACAACATACCCATTTCAGAATCCCAGCTCTTGGGAGGCTCGGGTAGCAGGAGCACAGAGGTTAGAGGCAGCCTGGTCTATATATATATATATATATATATATATATATATATAGTTCTAGGCCAGCTTGAGCTACATAGTGAGAACCTGTCTTAGCAAAAGGGTAGGAAGAAAGAGAGGAAGGATGGAAGAAAGGAAGGAAGGAGGGAGGGAGGGAGGGAAGAAAGGAGAAAGGGAGAGAGGGAGGGAGGAAGGAAGGGAGGAAAGAAAGAAAGAAGGAAAGAAAGATGGATAAAATACTGGGCCTAGTAGCACAGGCATGTAATCCTTACTTCTCTTAAGGTTGAGGCAGGAAGATTTCAAGTTCAAGGCTTCCCTAGGGTACAAAGTGAGTTCAAGGGCTTCGTTGGCAACTTAGTAAGACCCTACAAATAAAACTAAACCATACCATACACTGGCAAATAAATGTAATCCCAGCAAAGGCAGCAGAGTAGCTTCAACTTTGAGCCCAGCCTGGTTTTACATAGCAAGTTCCAGGGCAGCCGGGGCTGCCTTACAAGCCGACAATAAACAGATAAAGGGCTGGGAGTATGGACAGAACACTTCCTGAGAATATGCAAGGCTCCTGGTTTGATTCCCAGCACCTTCAATAAGTAAGGGAGTCCCTAACCCTAACCCTAACCCTAACCCTAACCCTAACCCTAACCCTAACCCTACCCTAACCCTAACCCTAACCCTAACCTGAGTTTAGTCCTCAGGATGTACAGAAACAGGCAGCGTGGTCCCGCCCCACAGGCTGTGGTTTCCCGGCACTGGAATTTGAAAATAAGAACTATTATCTCTTATAACAAGTGGAGCTTGTTTGAAGAGAATTTGCCCCAGCCCATGTGTTTGGAGATGGGCTGAGACACAGAGGAAACCACACGGCAACCTTTAGATGTCACTTTTTAGGAGTTACCCATCTTGTTTTTTGAGATGTGCTCTCTCAGTGGCCTGGAACTTTGTCAGTTAGGCTAGGCCAGCTGACCAGAGAGCCTCAGGAATCCTGCCTCGAGTTCCCCAGTGCCAGATGACGGGTAGACACTTTTTCTGGGTTCTCTATGTTGGGGCTGTGGATGGATCTTAGGTCCTTATATCTGTTCAGGAAGTTCTTTACTGACTGAGTGTCTCTCTGGCCCTGGCTCAGTCTTTCTCTTAGAGAGTCAGTCATATGCTTGCCTGCAGTTTTTAGTTGCTGAAAGGTTTACATAGCAAAATCTAGGCCAGAGGCCCTCTGCTGACTGTGCCCCTCCTTTCTCCCTATTCACAGGGCTCTTTGTGGGAAAAGAAGGCCCCATGATCCACAGTGGTGCTGTGGTAGGAGCTGGCCTCCCTCAGGTAAGGGTTGATGGGCCAGGGGATGCATTCCTCAGAATGGGCCTCTTGGATAGGAAAAATGCTTTGGACAAATCTGGAAAAATCCTTTGTGATATCCCTGATAAAGTTTCAGAACCTATTGCCTTTTGGAGTTGAGGTGAAAACCGTGTGGTCTGTCCCAGCAAAGCATGTAACTGTTGCTCCTCAAGGACAGCATTGCTGCTGAGTCTTTGGAACGGAAACAGGAAGCAGAGGAAAACCAGTCAGTGTGGCTGACAGGTTATCACATGCTACCAAGTGCCATGAGTCTGGAAGAGTTGGCTGGCACAATCTGAGGCTCACCTCTGCTCAGTCCACATTAGGTGATGCAGTGATAGTCTCAGGCCAGGCAAGTGTCACCTGTGCACTAGACTGTATGTCCCAGTTCCTTTCTTCTCTGTAGTCATGAACTGATTAGACCCCAAGCGTAGATGAGGATGCTGAAGAGCTAGCTCAAGACTCAGTTCTCCTTTTAAAAACGAGGTTTCACTGATGATTGGCAGGGATAGGGTGTCACTATATATCTTTGCTGGCTTTGAACTCAGCACCCTCCTTAGGCCTTCAGCCTCCTACATATAGGCCATCGCACCTGGGCAAAGCTCCTAGTCTTGAGGGCGCCTCTGGATACCTGGGCTTCCGTTTCAGTAGTCTTAGTTCAGAAGAACACTCACTTTGGACCTTTACCCTGTTCCGAGGAAGAGACTTAGCTGGAGTATGAGTTGTTGGGATGAGGGACAAAAGCTCTTTGCTCCAGGCCCATCTGCTTGTCTTGCTTGCTGTCTTGCTCAACTACTGGGTCTCCCAGAAACGAGCCTGGAAGAGGAAAGAAAGAGGCCAGCATGGCATGGGGGCCTGGGTGAGCATCTAGGATGCCAGTGAAATCCCCTGAAACAGCTAGTGACATCATATTAGCAGGTCTACATCCCTTCCAGCCCCTAGCTCTGCCGTCCCTCTCTTCCTGACTTGTTGACACTATGCAGGGTAAACCCTGAAGCTTCCCACCCTAGGTGACTTCCTTCCTGCAGCCCACTGGGACACTTTTGCAGAAGGACAGGGCTTCTGTGGGACTGTAAGGTCCTGTGCCCTCATGGCTTCTCTGACACCTTTTTCCTCCCATTTCAGTTTCAGAGCATCTCCTTACGGAAGATCCAGTTTAACTTCCCCTACTTCCGCAGCGACAGGTATGGGAGTGGTGAGAGGCGTGGCCCAGCCTCATGCACACTAGCCTGACTTCTTTTGACCAAAAGCTGTCAGAAAATAGAGCACTCTGTGCTTTTCTCCTGAGAGTGAGAAGCAAAAGGACCTAGCTATTGTCCTGACTTTAATATCTACTTGTTGTAAGAGCCGTTTCAGGCACTGATGATGGTCCCAAACTGAAAACCCAGCCAGAGAAGGGTGCCCTGCTGAGCAGACTGTAGCATTGTGGGCTTGTGTGTTGCTGTCCTGCACTGCTCCCAGCCTGATTCCATCTTCCTAGACTGAACCATGTCAGGTCAGGGAGCTCCTTGTCTCAGGGGAGGGCTGTTACCCCTGAGTGAATGGGATGTAGTGTGTTGGCTTTCCTTACAGTAACACATACATGGGGTGGGCAGCCGAAATGAAGAGAGTATTCTCCTCACAGTGTTCAAGGCTTTAACGTCCTTCATGGAGTGGCTTGGGATGGGTCCCAATACCCTCTTTACAAATATACTCCAAATGCCTGAGCTCCCCTCCTAGGCCCTATTGCTCAGTGTCTACCACCTTCCAGCAGCCCCTGGAAGATAGTTAACATCCACACTCAAGCATGGAGGGAGTCTGTGTGGCTCAGAGGCAGCTGTGACTACTGTCCAGGACCATGATACTCCTAGCTGTGAGGGAGAAGGTTCATAGGTAAAAAAGTAAGAAACTGGCTCTTTAGTCTGAAGGCTTTTTCTTAATAAACAAACGTTCTCTCTCCCTGCCCTCCTCTTCCACAGAGACAAGCGTGACTTTGTATCAGCGGGGGCAGCTGCTGGCGTTGCTGCAGCTTTTGGGGCCCCTATAGGGGGTACCTTGTTCAGTCTGGAAGAGGGCTCATCCTTCTGGAACCAGGGGCTCACATGGAAAGTGGTAAGGAGACTGACTGTGGATGCCACCTCATCGACCCAAGCATGAGTCCAGAATGCACCCGACATCACTTGAAACATGTAACTGTCCTTTTGTTGGAGCTGACAAACGCTCTGAGGAACTTGCCGTCATAGCAGCCATAGCCTCCAAACAGTAGGCTTTTGTGCTCTTCCTATGAGCCCACCCCCACCCCCAACTATACACCCATGCCAAACAGCTGCTGCTCTCTCTATGTGAACCCTCAGCCTGAAGAATGTATAAGTCTCAATGACAGGATTGTGACTTGAAATCATCTCCTGTGTCCTCCTTTGTGTTGGGCAAAGGGCCTGCTCCATAAGGAGCTCTCAGCATCAGGCACTGTGGAGGACCATAGAGAGACACTGGCTCAGAGCCTGCCTTCAGTTGCTTTCCCCAAGGGGGGTCCTGAAGCCAGCCACTTCTGAAGGCTTCTTCTGGAGCCATGGGTTTTTATTTCTTTGTTTATTGTTGTTACTGTTTTGGTTCGGTTTTGAGACAGGATCTCGCTATGTAGAAGGAGCTAGCCTCGAACTCACAGAGATCTACCTGTCTGCCTCCTGAGTGCTGTGCCACCACACCTGGGGACTGTCATGCTAGCAAGATGGCTCTGGACAGAGGCACTTGATGCCACCAGACCCCAGTTGAACCCTCGGCCCCACATGGTGGAAGGAGAGAACTGACTCCTGCAACTTCTTTGACCACCACACATGCACAAAATAAATACATAAATGAATGAGTGACTGTGAGGGGGTGAAGGAGAGGGTGACATCACCGCTGTCCTTGCTTTGTTACCTGTCCTCCAGCTCTTCTGTTCCATGTCTGCCACCTTCACCCTCAACTTCTTCCGCTCTGGGATTCAGTTTGGAAGTTGGGGCTCCTTCCAGCTACCTGGATTGCTGAACTTTGGTGAATTTAAGGTATGTCTTATCCTCCCTCCCAGGATATTTCACTGTACCCGTGAAACTTGCTCTTAAGTAAGAGAGCAGCGGGGTAGATGGCTGTGCTCCTGCACACGCCCACTCCTGTGAGCAGTGAGCTGGGCAGCCTGAACCCTCGGCAGGGAAGGAAGGAAGGCGTCCCGCTCTTGTTCTGTCTCTGTTTCTTCCCTTCCTGTTCTCATGGCCACTCTGGTTTTTCTCTCTCCCTCCCTTCCCCTTCTCTCAGTGCTCTGACTCTGATAAAAAATGCCATCTTTGGACAGCTATGGATTTGGGTTTCTTCGTCGTGATGGGGGTCATTGGGGGCCTCCTGGGAGCCACATTCAACTGTCTGAACAAGAGGCTTGCAAAGTACCGTATGCGCAACGTGCACCCGAAACCTAAGCTCGTCAGGTATCTGCAGTGAGCCCCTTGTGGGCGGGCCATCTCTCCCAAGGAAGATGGTCCTGTGACTAGACCCTGCTTCCCACAGCCACTGTGATTTCTCCTTTGAGACAAACATAGAAACAAGCTGATAAGTGTACCCCATGAAGGCCAGGGAAGCTGAGGAGTAGTTAGAGCTGAGTGGCTAGGTGGCTCGCCCTCTTCTGCTGACCTGTTGCTGGCACACATGGCCAGAGGTCAGGAGGGTTAGCAGAGTCTGTCTGTCAGGAGTTACCCTTGCCCTGGGCTTAGCAAGGAAGAACCATTGAGCTCTTCAGAAACAGATGATGTGTGTGCAACAGCCTCCTTCATCAGCTGCCTGCCTTTTATTGCAGCCAGCTAGACACAGCAAGTCGGGAGCAAATCCTGGATGTGTGCATCCTGACCAGGGCTGCTGGGCTTGCCTTGTGGGGGAGGGGTGCTGGGGCAGGTGTAGTGCTGGTGTGTGCTGGAGCCTAAGTGTCTCTGCATTGCACTGTCACAGCTGTGCTCTGCTTTCCAGAGTCTTAGAGAGCCTCTTGGTGTCCCTGGTGACCACGGTGGTAGTGTTTGTGGCCTCCATGGTATTAGGAGAATGCCGACAGATGTCTTCCACGAGTCAAACTGGGAATGGCTCATTCCAGCTCCAGGTAACCCTCGAAAACTTGGTGTCTATCCTCCAACCAGAACAGTGTGTCCGTTTAGAACCATGCTGCTCCTGCCTGCAGCTGAGTGTGCTGTGTCCTTCCCCTGAGAGGGTGAGCACGCTTGCCTGTGTCCCTCCTGCACTGTCTAAAGCTCAGGCTGTTGTTCATGGGAAGCATTGCTCACTGGCCTACTGCTCGCTCTCTCCAGGCCCATTTACCCTGTCCCTCTTCAGGCCTGCAGGACACATTGACTCAGGGCCCCACCACCTCCCCTCTGTGATGTGAGAGTCACGCATAGGATGATGCTAACTTGTCCCATGCTGGGCTGCTCTCCTTGGCCTGTCTTCTTGTTTCTAAGTAGCAACTCGGGCTCTCAAAGCCCCCTGGAGCTTGTTTGGGAGGGAAGCAGGCTGTGATGTCCAGGATGTTTTAGATGAAAAGTCAACAAACCATAGCCAAGGGTTCCATCTGGCTCTTGCAGCCGCCTTTTGTGTAACCCTCAGTCAGAGGGTGCCTGGGACAAAAGAAGGTATCACTCAGGGTAGAAGTTTACTGACATCTTGTTCTTCCCAAGACCACTTCATTTCTGAGACCAAAGTTTTCAAAATGTATTTTGTTGTGGAATGTTAATAATATAAAAAACATAAAACATTCTGTGCTCAAGTTGGCTGACTTTAAAGAAATTAACTAAAATCAGACAAAGGTGACTATCCTGGGATGGATTGATTTTCTGGGCTGTAGGGCTCCTGGGCCCACAATAGTCCAGCAAGCATGCACCAGAGATGCCCAGGCCCTCTGTGTCTTGAATCTTTCACAAGGACTTCACACAACTACCATTCTTTTTCTTTTACTGTGCTGGCTGATAATAGTATCCCCATTTTTCAGGAAAGAAAACAGAGGCAAAGTGAAGACTTTTCCAAGACTCCTTAGCTGATAATGTATAGCATAAAGGGGAAGGTACTACTTCATTTTATAGAGGAGAAAAATCCAGAGTTGACAAAGTAAAACTTCTTCCCAGAGAGTGCAGAGTTAGTAATGAAGCCATCTGAATTTGTAGTCTGTTCCCTGCCAGCAGACAGATGGTCTCTCAGTAGTACAGCTGACCTCAAGACCTTTCCCAGAGACTCTGGGACCGGCTTTCCTCTGACATGTTCTGGGAAAACCTGCATGTGTCAGTTATTGAGCCACAGCCAACAGTTTGTCCACTGTTCCCCTGCATTCACACCTCACTGCCAACAGGAGGCGCTGTCCATCTCCTTACTGTCCATATTCACAGAGACAGCAGTGCGGTGAAGCCCAGTCACTGCTCACCACCAGCCAGAAATCCAGAACCATCCCTCTACAGATGCCCTGCTCCTACTGATAGTTCAGCTGGCATCAGAATCCCATGCTCACACAGGGTGTTGAGAACGTAAAGAGGCTTTTCTTTCTCATTTGGCTTATGTTCTCCTAGTGGGATTGGAAGGAAGGTGGCCCAGAGCATGATGTTGCTGTCGGGCCTCATGTTAAGGTTGGTTTCTTTTGTAGAAAATCCAGAATAAAGGTTTGTTTCTTGGTTGGTTTCTTTTTTTGTTAAAGATTTATTTATTTATTTGTTTAATTTATGAGTACACTTTGATGTCTTCAGACACACCAGAAGAGAGCATCGGATCCCATTACAGATGGTTATGAGCCACCATGTGGTTGCTGGGGATTGAACTCAGAACCTCTGGAAGAGCAGTCAGTATTCTTAACCGCTGAGCCATCTCTCCAATCCCTCTTGGTTGGTTTCATTTGCAACCAAAGTTGGGGTTTCAGCTGATCTCTGATCTGCATTGCCATCCTGTAGTCCTTGGGGCTGTCACACTGAGCTCTTAGCTGTGTTACATCAGAATCTGCACCAAGGAGAAAAACCAAGTCCACGGTGAACCCTGCTGTAGTTAGGCTCAGTGATGAGTGTGAGTGAGGGCTGAGGAGATGACGCAGCAAGTAAAGCCTGAGTCAGGTCCCTAGGACCTTATGACAGCTCATGTCTGAAATTCCAGTGCTGCTGTGGCAAATGAGAGGTAGAGATGGGCAGTCTGTGGGGCCAGCTAGTCTCACATGTGTGGTGATGAATGAGTCCCCTAGCTCGATGTCATACGACCTTGGCGTTCATGCTATAGCGCTTGTGTACCTACTCAGACACACGCAGATGCTTTCTAAAAAGTGGATAAGCAGAGGCTTCACCCTCACCCATATTGTTTCACTCCACAGTCAAAGTGCAGGAGCAGGTATTCGTCAGCTGCCATCTAATGCCATAGCAGATGTGTGCCTGCTTCCTCCTCCAGCTAGACCCCAGCTCCTCCCACAGGCAAAGCTGGGCAGCCAGACACTGAAGGCCTGTATGTCCCAGTCAGGTGCCTTTGTGTTGACTTTTTGATCTCCTTTGTTCAGGTCACATCAGAAGATGTGAATTCAACGATCAAGACTTTTTTCTGTCCCAATGACACCTACAATGACATGGCCACACTCTTCTTCAACTCCCAGGAGTCTGCCATCCTGCAGCTCTTCCATCAGGACGGTGAGTGTCCGTGCTGCATACCCCCGGCCAGGGTCGATGCCAGCTCCCACTCAGGCATCTCTCTGCAACTGTGTTCATGCCAGAGGTTCACATTTCTGCCTCCAGTGTTGGCTGGTGACCAGACTGGTGTGCAAAAGCTACCCTGGAGGACCCAACACAGTTTTCTGAGTCTGTGCAAGCATCTGCTATTGTGACTCAGGTCTATTCTCACCCTGCAGGGACTTTCAGCCCCATCACCCTGGCCTTATTCTTCATCCTCTATTTCCTGCTCGCATGCTGGACTTTCGGCACGTCTGTCCCCAGTGGCCTCTTTGTGCCTTCCCTGCTGTGTGGAGCAGCTTTTGGACGTTTAGTTGCCAATGTCCTGAAAAGGTAGTGTGGATTTAATGAGTGCACATGTGCCCACATGTTCACAAGTGTGTGAGCCCATACTACCATTGTGAGTCTAAGCCTGGCTCTGTTTCTCTCTTCACCAGCTACATTGGCCTGGGCCACCTCTATTCTGGGACCTTTGCTCTGATTGGTGCGGCAGCTTTCTTGGGTGGGGTTGTAAGAATGACCATCAGCCTCACAGTCATCCTGATTGAGTGTACAAATGAGATCACCTATGGACTTCCTGTCATGGTCACTGTGATGGTGAGCACGTCCCTCTGGCTGCCGGCAGGCTGAGGCCCAGCCTCCCTTCAAGAGCTGTCTTCAGGTCTCTGCCTTATATTCCAGGTGGCCAAGTGGACTGGAGACTTTTTCAATAAGGGCATTTATGACATCCACATTGGGCTGAGAGGTGTGCCTCTTCTGGAGTGGGAGACAGAGGTGGAAATGGACAAGTAAGAAGCTGGCCTCTTCCTGCGTCTTTGCACCACTTTCTAAGCTGCAGGGCCTGCAGGGTGGGAAACAGTAGGTCACCTTGTTCTGATTAGAAGGTACACTGTGTCCCTGTGTGTTTAGGGGTGTTGAGCCACTTGAGTTGGCTAGGAATCTGGCGAGCAGCTCCCAGGGCTGGGTAGCATGGTGGGCACAGGGAGGCAGGGCTGCTGGTGGCTATTTGGCTCCTTAGCATGCTGGCCAAGTCAGCTGTGAGAACTGCTTCAGGCTTTCAACATTGCTGGATGCTCACACCGAGAGCATGCACAGTCCTGCCGATACACCAGCCCACTCACACATCCAACCAAGCACCACCCTTGCCTGGGACCGTCCACAGGTGGCCAGCCTATGTGCGTATCAGGCAGGCCTTAGGAGTTAATGCAGGGTCAGCAGCCTATCAACCCACAGCCCTGCCACTACAGCAGGAAAACAGACGTGAAGGAGTGCGCAAGGCTGGAATGGATCTGCGGGCTCTGGCTTGCCATCCTGGTCTAAACAAGGGCTCCAGAATTGCCCTTTAACTTCCAGATAACTAGTGATTAGTGGTGATTGACCATAGCATGTGATGTGGTGTGTCAAGGAGTGGCTGGCCAACCCTTGGGAAGGCAGGTGGGGCTTGTGGAGAGGTCGCAGTGGCCCCTAGCATGATAAAGTAAGGAGCAGTGTAGTCGGCATGGTGTAGAAGTTGGAGGACTTGCTAGGGATGATTCAGAAAAGAGGCTTCCGTGACCAGATGGAGATGAGGAGCACCATTACCCAGCCCAGCCTGTCCCCAGTGGCTGTGGTGTCTTTGAGGCTGTTACAGCTTCCCCCTCTGCAGGCTGAGAGCCAGTGACATCATGGAGCCCAACTTGACGTATGTCTACCCGCACACGCGTATCCAGTCTCTGGTGAGCATCCTGCGCACTACGGTCCACCACGCCTTCCCTGTGGTCACAGAGAACAGAGGCAATGAGAAGGAGTTCATGAAGGGCAACCAGCTCATAAGCAACAACATCAAGTTCAAGGTAAAGAAAATGGCCCAAAAGGGAGGCTGCTGAGGTAGGCACTCATGCCGTGTAATGCTTCCTCTGAAGCTGGGCTGCACTCAGACTGGGTCAGTCTAGGGAAAATCTGCATAATCCTCCCACGTAACTCAGTGGGTCTCATGGAGGGTGTGTGCTCATCTGGCAGCAGGAAGGGGGTGGATGGGTCCTTTTGAAAAACTCAGTAGACTTGCTATTAATTATTTACCATATACAAGCACCAGGGAGGGTTCTAGAGTTGCTAACACAAATGGATTCTGGCCAAGTTAGGAAAGTGGGGCCCAGGCAGGAGGATCACTGTGAGCTCTGGGCTAGCTTGCACTCCATAGAGAAACTCTTGTCTTAAGAAACCACAGATAGGGGGCTGGAGAGATGGCTCAGAGGTTAAGAGCACTGACTGCTCTTCCAGAGGTCCTGAGTTCAATTCCCAGCAACCACATGGTGGCTCACAACCATCTGTAATGGGATTTGATGCCCTCTTCTGGTGTGTCTGAGGACAGCTACAGTGTGTTCACATACATAAAATAAATAATTCTTTAAAAAAAAAAAAAAAAAAAAAGAAACCACAGATAGAGGGGGGGAAGGAGGTTGGGAGAAATTGACTAGAAGCTGCAGACCCGGGCTGCGAGCTCTAGGGATGCAGATACTGACCTTATGATGCCATGTGATAGACACAGGTGGGTTGGGTGCTAGCTGCTCTCTGACCTTGGGTAGCTCCCAACTCTCAGTCCAGGGAGGGTAAGTCCATCACCTCACACAGTCTATGTGGCCACCAGTTGGCTTTGGTGGCTTTGGGAAGAGCAGACATAAACACCGACAGTCAGGATATAAGAGGAAAGTTGTTTTCCCTCTGCAGAATTGAGGTGTACCTTCCCAGATGAGAGGAAGTAAAGTCTTAGGCCAGTAAAAACATGAGATTTGTTGTAGCAGATAACTTCACATCACTGTGACAGAATATGTGGTGTGACCACACTTAGACAATCCGGGCAGTGCTGGCCCACTTAGACAAACCAAGCTGGGCGGTGATGATGCTGGCCGTTAGTCCCAGCACTCAGGAAGCAGAGGTAGATAGCCATGCTACACAGGAAAAACAACAAAAATTAGCCACTTAGAAGAAGGATTTCTTTTGTCCTGTGTTTCAGAGGTAACTCTCGGTCCATCAGGGCCAAAAATATACAGAGCAGAATATCTAGCAGCATGGAGGGAGAAAGCAGACAAAAGAGTCCAGGAAGGTCAGGGCAAGATAAAGCCCCTGAGGAGACAGCACACATGCGTGCACATACCGCTGTGACCTACTTCCCCATCTAGACCCCAGCTCCTTCTCTTCATCTGTCTGAGGTCAAAGCCCTTGGGTTCTGGTCCTGTGAAACAGACAGACACCCAGACTGACCCCAGTCAAACTGACCATCAGAATCAAGTGACACATTTGGGCTGGGCAGGGTCATGAGCTGTAGTGTAGTAGTAGAGTCTTACCTCTCTTGGGTGAGGCCTCAGGTTCCTCAGGTTCATTTTCAAGTCTAAGGACTGACTGGCCTGCACTCTGAGTGTCTTGCAGACCTCCATGGGAAGTGCCCTTCCCATCCCCGCAGCACTGGAGATGCTCCTTTGTCTGTACGCCCAGCACCACCATCTTGGCACTTGTACAGACTCTCACTGCCCCGCCTCCGTCCACAGAAATCCAGTATCCTCACCCGTGCTGGTGAGCAGCGCAAGCGGGGCCAGTCCATGAAGTCTTACCCTTCCAGTGAGCTGCGCAACGTGTGTGATGAGCACGTGGCTTCTGAGGAGGCAGCAGAGAAGGAGGACCTGCTACAGCAGATGCTGGAGAGGAGGTGAGAGGAGGTGAGGGCCTCACACTGGCGGCCTGCAGCGGCCGCCCGGCCGACAGCGCGCCCTGCACACGGTGTGAGGGAGGCCTTGCGTGCTGGAGATTACGGGAGGCAGTGAGAATGTGAGAGTGGCACTGCTGGCGGGATACGAGGCAGCATCTGGTTTTTGTGTAACAGATACACTCCCTACCCCAACCTATACCCTGACCAGTCCCCGAGTGAAGACTGGACCATGGAGGAGCGTTTCCGTCCGCTGACCTTCCACGGCCTCGTCCTGCGCTCTCAGCTCGTCACCCTGCTTGTCCGAGGAGTGTGTTATTCAGAAAGTCAGTCCGTAAGTCTTGGGCTCTGGTGTTCAGGACGGTGCCAGGGACAGACCCTATTCTTCCAGAAGAGGTGCTTCAGTGCGTGTGATGTGTGCACGGCTGCTGAGTAGGGTACTCAGCCACACATGCCTCTTGCTGTGTTTGTGAGGCCCCCAGGTCACGAGGAAGGTGAGGACAAGCTGACTCCAATTGTCCCTTGTTTATCCTCTGCCACATTTTGTCCAGTGTCTCCTGCCTGCTGGCCTGTGAGCTTTTCATATCCTGAGGGGCGTTTCCTTTTGTTTTCTTCTGTTATTGAGACAGGGTCTTGTGTAGCCCAAGCTGGTCTTTACCTCACTGGATAGCTGAGGATGAATGTCTGATCCTGCTGTCTCCAGTGCTCATGTGCTGAGATTCCAGGCATCCCGGGCACTGGCCGCCATGCTTGACTTTAATACTGCAGGATTTGAGTTCTGGTACAAGTGGACTCTTCTGCATGTGTTAGTGGAAGAAGTGCCCCTCCCCCTGCCAGCTCCACTGAAGACATCTTTTCTCTTCCATTTGGTTTTAGGGTGTCCTCATGGCACCCAAGGCCACACCCGTCATACCCTTTTGGCAAGTCACCCAGAGCCCTGCTTTCCAGAGTGACTCTGCTGATGTCGGCAGCTGCAGGTTTCTCTCATTGTAGCCCCCTGAGCCCTCTGTGGTCTGATAAGCCTGCAGAAGAGCAGTTGCCCTAGCACAGGGACCTGGGTGGAGTGTAGGTGACCAGCCTGATTGCAGTGGGTAGAGACCAGTGGGGAGTTTAGGGAAGGACAGTGGAGTGATGACAACTTAGATCCTGAAGTGCCTGGCCTGGCCTGCGGAGCAGCTTGATTCTGAGGCTGCCCGGCAGTGGGGCCAGCTGTGAGCCGGGTGAGGCTCACAGAGTGGAGCCCGCTCACATAGCAGTTCCTGGCCAGCACTTGTAGCCACCGTGCTGTCCTGTGAGCCCTTGCAGTGGCCTCCCTGACCTGTCACACAGCAGTCAAATCTGAGGGACAGTGACAACACTCCTGGGACACTGTCTGTTGCCATTGTGCCAGATTGCCATCAGCCTGGGAGTTTGAAGCAGGGTCTTCCATAGTTCAAGAGGATAAGCACAAGATCCAGGGTGCACGGGCGGCTCTCTGAAGGAGCTGGGGGGTGGGGGGTCCTTCCTGCCCTCCTCTTAGTCCCAGCAGTTGCCAGTAGTTCCAGGCCTTACTGGTTGTAAACATCACTTCCATATTACTTCTGTCGACACACAGTGCTCACTCTGCTTCCTCTCTCCACTTTGTAAGGAGCCTGATGTTGGAATTAGGCCTTAGTCCACTGTGAGCTCACTGTAAGTAAACCTGCAGAGCCCTGTTTTCAGCAAAGGCACCTGATAGGCACTAGGATTTACAAGTTGGCTGTCTTTTGGGGGACACAACCCATAACCCCTGTTCGCAGTCTTATCGTTCATTAGAACTGGTTTGGTATCAGGTTGTTCCCTCTTCAGTACCTGCTATGGCTCCTGTACTGCCACCCCCAACCCCGGTGGCATGTGACTGGAAGATACAATCATAACTGGGGAGGGGGAGAGTCAGAGTGACCCTCCTAGCAGCTGCAGTTTGTTGCAAGGACATTGTCTTGGTGGGAATTGCAGAGTGCCAGCCAGCCGCGTCTTTCCTATGCTGAGATGGCCGAGGACTACCCGCGCTATCCAGACATCCATGACCTGGACCTCACACTGCTGAATCCCCGAATGATTGTGGTGAGGAGGGTCTTCCTTTGGGCTGGTGCATGTGCTGCTGTGTGCCGTGTGTATCCCAGGCTATGGGTGATTCTTGATTTTCTGCTCCAGGATGTCACCCCATATATGAATCCTTCACCATTTACTGTCTCCCCCAACACCCATGTTTCTCAAGTTTTCAACCTGTTCAGAACCATGGGCCTGCGCCACTTGCCAGTGGTGAATGCAGTGGGCGAGGTAAGTGGGTTGGGTGGAGGAAGCAGTGGCCCTGGCGGCCTCTCATCTGTCCACCCAGTGGATGCTGCTTTTTTCCATGCACACATCAGTCCAGCAGGGGGCGCCCCGTGTCCTGCCTTCCAGTCTTCATGCCTGTTCTTGTCTTGGCTCTCAGTGTCTCCTCACTCCCCCGCTCTGTGTCTCTTAGCGCCTCTTATGGGCATTTGTAGCACTAATAGAAGGTAAGGTAGAATGCTCAGAGGGTTTTAAAAGATAACATCCTCAGTGATTGTTTTTGTAGACTTCCCCATCATTTCAGGGTTACTTTTTTAAAAACCTGTTTGTGTGTGCTGTATGAGCCTGGCTCTGTGGAGCTGGTTCTCTCCTTCCACTTGAGTGAGTTCTGGGGCTTCTTCTCTGCTCACCAAGCTTGCGTGGCAAGCGTATTTACCCACTGGGCCACCTTGGCAGCCCAACTTAATTTTTTATTACATAGTCATTGCTGTACTATCTTACTATAGTGTAGCAAGATAAGAAAATACAAATAAGTAAAAGTGAGCCCTGATTCCTGCCCTGCTGAGAGCATCACCTTGTCAGCTCTGCTGTGCATAGGTTCTGCATGCCCCACCCGAGGTGGCGTACGTGGTGGGTTTTCTTGCAGGTACCCGTCTCTGCGGGCTGTCGTCTAGTCTTACGAATGCTAGGCAGGCTCTCCCACCACGCTGCAGCACTCCACGCACCACTGCGACAGCTGAGCGTCGTGGCCGCGTGCTCCATTTCCCCATCTTGCTTATTTAGTTACTTTCCAGTTCCCTTTTGAACCGGTCCTTTGTCACCAAAATGACCCTTTAGGAAGAGGTTCCTGTTTAAGGGACAGCCTGCCTTCCCTGCATCCGTCCCTTGCTGGCCTGATACTCATTAAGTAGCCCAGACTGGCCTTGAACTTGAGCAGTCCTCTTGACTCGGCCTCCCAAGTGCTGCTATAGGGAGGTAGCACCAGGCCTTGCATGTGCCCTGTTTAAGAACATACACTAGCCAGTTTTATGTCAGCTTGACACAAGCTAGAGTCATTTGGGAACAAGGACTCTCAATTAAGAAAAGGCCTCAATGGAGGGCTTTTATAGGGCTGTAAACAAAGCTGTGGTACATTTTTGTCATTACTGATGGATGTGAGAGATGGCCCAGAGTTCCATCCCTGAGCCTGGGGGTCCTGGGTGCTATACCAAAGCAGGCTAAGCAACTCAGGCAGAGCAAGACGGTCAGCAGCGCCCTCCATGGCCTGTGCCTCAGCTCTGCCCCCAGGGTCCTGCCCTGTGTGAGCTCCTGCCCTGACACTTTGCTTCGTGGTAGACTATGAAGTAGCTGAGGTAAATTTTCTCCCCAGTTGCTTTTGGTCCTGGTGCCCCATCCCAACAATAGAAATCGCAGGCAGGACTTGGGGTGTAGTTCCATGATAGAGCTTGTGCCTAGGTTTCTTCCTAAACAAGTACACAGGATAAAACACAGGCTAGTTATGCCAGGTGTTGGGGCACACACCTGTAATCCCAGCACACATGCAAGTTCAAGGCTAGCCTGGGCTGTGTTGTGAATGAAACCCTGTCTCTATCCAAACCAAAACCAATAAAAGAGTGCCTGGGCCACACAGGGATCTGTGTTGGGAGAAAGCAGTGGCTCAGAGTCCCCTTCCAGTCCCTCTCCCTCTCCCTTCCCCCAGTTTACTCCCAGTCCAGGGCCCACTGATTCCTCTGATGCAGCTCTGTCTGTCCATCTGTCCCCAGGTCTTCAGCTTAGGATTCCTAACCTCCCGAGAGGAGGAAGTCTGTGCCATGAGCACAAAAATCCTGTCATGGCCTTACACTGTCCAAGTCGTAATTCTGTCTTTCTCTTTCTACATCCTGTGGTACATTGACAGAGACCAGCTCTCTTTACACAGTCTTACTGGCGGTTTTACCCTGTGGTGATCTGTGTGTTTTCTCCTTGTCCTAGATTGTGGGGATCATTACCCGACACAACCTGACAAATGAGTTCCTGCAGGCCAGGCTGCGACAGCATTACCAGACCCTCTGACAGTTGAGCCCGGCTGAAGCCAACCCACTCTCCCAGAGGTGCCTCTGCAGGTGGCCCCCACAGCCGGCCCAAAGGCTCCCAGTCACCCATTTGCTCAGATGCCTGGAGTCCTGGAAGATGGGGGTCAGAGGTTTTTGGGGATGTGTTGAGCAGGAAGTTGGGGTTTTACTAGCTTCCTCTGTAAGAATCTTCCGTTCTCCAGCTCCCCTAGAGAGACAGCAGGGTGCTGTCAGGCTGGATCCTAGGTGGACACTTGGTACCTCTCTGTTGCTGTTTCTTGGAGAGCCCAGCTGTTGCCCAGACCCTTCCAGGAAGAAGTTGGACCAGGGCAAATATTGAGGATGTTATTTGCATATCATGTTCATTACTAAGTTTAGGATTGGGCACCAAGAACTGTTCCCCATGTTTGGGGAGGCCTGGGATCAGAACCAGGACCTGAGATACACTCTGCCTCTTCATTGGCCCATGTTTCTTCTTCTGTTTCCTAGGAGTGAGTTCATGCTCTTGACTCTGTGGGTTGATTGTCCTTAGAGTCATTCATGACCAGACCCTTGATGCACTAACATTCCAGCTAATGGTCTTTGAAGCATTAAATTCCATCATGGGGATTGGACCACAGCTTCTCCCCTCTGTGAGCATTCGATACTCCCCACTCACTGATGACATCTGTTCTCCCAGTGACAGATGCTCTCCTCCCATTGTCCTTCCTCTCCACAACTGCTCGACTTTCTAAGCCTTCCTCTGTCTTCCTGGTACGGTAGCCACAACTTCATCTTGGATTCATTCCCTAAGTCAACCAAAATTGAGGAACCCCTAGACGGAAACCACTACTCAGATCCCTGGCCAATTTGGGATTACTCTACAAACTAGCAAGCAAGGTGTCGTGAGCCAGGGCCTATCAAAGGTACAGCCGTAGGAGAAAGCCAGTAGCTCCTGTCATGGTCACTGCTCGAGCCCAGCTTCCTGTCCACTCTAGACTCAGCCCTCATCCCGAGGACTTGGAGAGGAACCTGTGCAGCTGCTGGTCTCAGGCTGGGCAGGGAGTGGGGGGTGGGCAGGGAGTGGGGTGCTCTTGCACTCGTGCCTCACTGCCTCGTGGCCTCTTTCTCTCCTAGCTGCTTGTCCTCTCTGAGTCGGCACCTCAGTGCACATCTGGGTAGGGACATTTGCACTCATCTTCCATCAACCCACGGCCCCTGTGGCAGCTGTTGTTTGGATACAGGTGGCATTCGTTTGTGTTAGATACTTTTTAAATCATGGAACTTGCTGGAGAGCATCTGTGCTGGGCCTGGCTTCTAGCAATGAGGCTGCCAGTCCTGGCAGAGTCCTCTGACCAGCATTCGGGAAATTGTTCCACAGCCTTGGGGGAGCTACCTTTAGGGCTGACAGTTACCCTGGCCCTCTGTTTTCCCCATTTGCTTATCTTTTTACCAGAATGAGCTTGACTTACTCTGTTTTCAGCTTCTGGCTTGGGGGGTGGGGGTGGGGGTGTGAGGGTTGAAACATCCCACACGTACTTGGGAAAATAGCTAAGCAGGGTTGTGTTTGGCCTGCTGCCAGCTTCATTTTATGGCTGACTGCAGTGCCTGCCCTGCTGTGTGCTCCATCAAGAAGAAAACCACTTGCTCACACTAAGAGAAAAGTGTGACACACCACAGAACTGTCTTCCCAGCCTGGAGGGTTTGCAGAATTGTAGCCTGTAGGGGACCTCAGTCCACAGCTTCCTGCCTCCTAGCCAGTCCTAGGGACCTGTTGCGGTTTGTCCATCATGTATGTGTCATCAGTTTAGCCCAGAATAGACAGAGTACAGACATTTCCACCCTGAACCCATGAGCCCATGCTCCTCTAGGACACCCAGTTCTCTGTGTCCCTCCCCACTGAACCTGCCTTTCCAGAGAAGCCCAAAGACAACAGCCTTTTCCCCTGTGAACTAGAACTGTAAGCCCTGCACCCTTCTCCTATGGCAGTCTCTTGGAACTAGTGACCCCAATGTTATAGCACCTTGTCAAACACAGCGCCATGGAGGGACACGGAGGTTGGCTTGAGGCAGTTTTCCTGGCTGGCTCCTGCACCTGGGCATTCGTATGGCTCCCTGGTACTGCTGTGGGAGTTTGGTGGTGGTTTATGACACGTCTGCATGTGACCTTGTTAAAGCAGTTCCAGCTGGAATGGACATTAGCTTGACTCAGCTAGCCATGTGACAGTGTGATGCAGACCTTGGTGACAAGAAAGCTTCCGGAGCCCTCCTGGCCCAGCCGTGTTGATGGGGAGTGTTACCCTCGGCTCCTGTGGACCTCGGTGACTGTGCAGCTGCAGCTTCCTTCTGCCTTTCCGTTCATACTGTCTGTTTATATGGTAACAGTAGCTGACTCCACTGTGTAGATAAGTGGTATCTTTTTTAATTTGTAAAAGTCTATTTTTATTTGGCCCTTTGGAAGGTGGACGCTCTTGTGGTCACTCTCAAGTCGGAATAAAATGTTTGCACCTTCTCTGTAGAGCTTGCTCCATGGTGCTCTTCACAAGTAGGGAAAGTTAAGGTGCAAAGCAGTCTGTCTCTGAGACAAGGTCTGATGTAACACAGGCTGGCTTCAGACTCACTTTAACCAAAGATGACCTGAGCTGCCCTGCCCCTACCTTTCATGTGCCGGGATTCCAGATCCATGCCGTCAGACCCAGCCAGGAAAGGTAGTCTGCTGGCCCCACCCCTGTCTGTCTGCTGTCTTTGTAAGCTCTTTCTTACGTGGCACCTGTCACCTATGCACAGGGGTCCATTTGGTCTGTTGATCTTTCTTCCTGCCAGACGCACCAGGGCAACAGTAGACAGTCTGAGTTCTCAGCTGCCTGTCTGGGGACTCACCCCACAGACAAGACCCTAACAGCAGCCAGAAGAGGGCAAGTCCCGAACTCTCCTGGTGTGCGTGCGTGTGTGCGTGCACATCTGTCTGCTCTCTGTTCACTTATTTTACAAGGAATACCACTGGCTGTGTCCATGGCTGTGCTGGCATGTCAGCAGTCACAGACAGCCCGCCAGGCTCCTGCTCTGTCACCTTTCTGTCTCTCTGTTACCATGTCATCTGGGGGACATCCCCAGCAGCTCGCTCTTTCCTTAGCAATTAGGACTGCCGGTGCAGGCCTAGCGCTTGTCCCATTCACACTGTACATGCATTGACTGGTTCTCTGCACCTTCTAATCTGAGATCCAAACAGGAAGTGGGTTTTTTTGTTTTGTTTTCTTTTTTAATTGAGCCAGGGTCTCACTGCAAAGCACTGTCTGTCCTGGAACACTCTGTGTAGACCAGGCTGGCCTTGACCACACAGAGATCTGCCTGGCCCTTCTCCCTAGTGCTGGGGCTAAGGCATATGTGACCATGGCTCAGATAGGAACATTTTGATTGGAAGTGGTTGAAGTTCTTCCTCCCGCTCCAGCCCGTCGCTGTCTGCTCCTGGCCTGGCCATCCTCTACAGATATGCACAATACTACTTGCTTTCTTCTCCCCGTTTTTGTACAACATGCCCAGTACAGGTTAGGGGCACAAGCACACAGGTGTGCTCATACACATACAGATGTGTGTACACACACACAGGAGGGGTTGGCAAACCATGTCCGATTGGAGTTACAAGATGGCCTGTGTGATCTTGGAGGAAGCAGTGTTCACTATCAGCCTTGAATATGTAGGGTGTGGCGCACAGGATGGTGACATCTCAGGTTGGAGGCAGCAGGCCTGACCACAGCAAGGTGAGTGTGTAGGTGGCAGAGGGTGTGAGACCCTAGTCTGGTGGATACACAGGGCCACAGGCAAGAAAAAACAGAGTCCCCCCTTTAAAAGGAAGTTTGAGTCCTTGTTCTCTGCTTAGGGTGGTACCTTTTGCAAGCAGATTATAAAAATACTGCACCTTACAGATTTGGTAATGCAGTGAGGCAGAGGCAGGCAGATCTCCCTGAGCTCGAGGCCAGCCAAAGCTCCATAGTGAGACCAAAAATAAATAAAGTACTGCATGTTTCCTGTTGGTTCTCTCCTCCAGGCAACATACAAGTTCAAGCTCTACCGCCCTGGGTTAGGGAGAGCGTGGCTGATTTTAAATGCGTCTGACTCCCTGAGTTTGATCTTGAACACTGACTGAGACATGGGTAGGTAGTGATGCACCAGTGAGGTAGTTCACAAAGAGTTTGCACTTGCCACCCGTTGGCCTGGAAACCTCCCTCCTCCCAGCTGCGGAACCCACTCTCCTCTCACGCTCATCCAAACTGAGAGTAATTCACGTGGTCGCAGCAGCTGGCACCCTGACAGATCTGGACAGCCTCTAGTTCTCTAAATGCCCCTTAACGCCACCCAGGCTGTAACTAGAAAGAGAGGGACACGTGAGACTTCTGAGCACAGGTGTCATTACCTCTCCTCAGGAAAAGTGTGTTTGTGCTCCTTTTTCATGAATTAAAAATAAATGCCCTCTTCAGTCTGGGCGGGCTTTCCTGGGTTCTGTGATGGAGGCAGAGCATGTTGAGGACCGTGGCATGAGGCCCCCACACACTCAGCAAGGAGACGGAGGGAGAGATGAAAGATCAAAGTTGGGGACAGCAAGGAACCGGGGCAGAAGCCAAAGAAGCAGATCCAGGCCTCAGCGTCTGTCCTTGGTGCTGAAGTTTATTTAATTTTTTTTCCCCAAGTGCTTTCTGAAAGGGGTGGGGATCTACCTTGATATGCTGAGCGGGAGAGCCGAGGCCCACTAAACCACTCATCTACATTTAATATCGACCGTGATAGATGAAGACAGGAAGCCGGAGCTCCAGGAGGGTGCTCACCACACCTCAGCGGTAGTGCGACCAGGCTGCGTGACACACCGTAAGGGCTTAGGATCTTTCGCGATCTGCTCAAGCAGATTTGGCTGCCTTTTCCTCATTGGCTGTTATCTCCGGTACTACAAAGAGAAAAATATACTGTCTTGATGATCTGCCTTGACTGGGCTAAACTGCTCAACTTGACCAGTGACCAACTACTTCCCACCAGATACGGTTCAGCCTCTGTGATAAACTGGCAAGCAAGGCACCGGCAAGCAATGTGGACAGTCTTGGCCCTGTGTTCTAATTTCCTAGTGCTCGTGGCTCAGACCCCATAGCAGCTGTTGTCATTGTCTTGAAACTCAAGGAACATCCATCATAGTGAGGCAGACCTCTCAGAGGAAATAGACACATGCACTGGGCTCTCTACTGCCAAAGATGCTCCCTGGGTACTGTTCCTTGGCAAAGTCTGATCCCTAACGAGACCCCACCTGACCTCTATCCCATTTCCATCCACAGCTCCTCTTACCCGGAAGCTGTTGCAGCCTAGTCCACTCTGGGCTCCAATCCTGTCAATCCTACCCCCGAAGCAGCTGGACCTTCGTAGACTCCGAGGGCCAGCGAGCAGAGCCCTCAGTTTGCTTTTCAAGAGGGCAGATCTATCAGAGGGGTCCCAGGGGCTACGCCCTAGAGTGCTGCCATCTCTCTGAGGTGGGTTGACCTCCCCAGTCCAGGGAGGCACCTCAGGGAGGGAGCTAAGTGCCGCCCCTGCTTCATCAGTCTGCTCACTCAGGGCTTGTGGGGGCATGACCTCATCTTCTACCGGCATCTTCTCTTCCAGGTGG